TGGACCGCACGAAGGTAGACACTGGCGTGGGTGGTGAGTGTCTCATGCGCCATTTTGCGTCTGATCGGAGATAGGCCGAAAAGTACATTCGCGCAAGGGCCTGCTCTGAGTGATCTTGTCTGTGACGCCAAGAGTTAGGTAGGCGTCGGGCAGAAGGGACCACTACACATGTAAAGCTGAACGTAAATTCCAGATTGTTCGAGTGAGTATGAGAAAGTTGATCTGACTTATGAAGTAGTTGTCGCTGCCGAGTGGTTCTTGTTTCAGCGGCCCCGCTCAGATGCAGTTCAGTCCTTCCTCTTAAAGTTGTCTGATGGTAGCGGGTGTGCAAGACATCATAGAACAACAAGAACCTTCAGTTATCGCATTTTTTCAGCTCTTTTTGCAGCTCGTCGTCAAGGGTCAATTTAAGAGTACTGTTTAACTGAAGTGCAAACATAATTGGCAGTGACGCTCACACGCCTTATTTTTGGTTCACAAAGCGCCTTTTACGTCGCCGAGAGTCCTCGTGCTATTCCCGGACTTTCTTAGACGAAAACCGGTCGTTGGGCGTTGCAGCCTATCACCCACCTACAAACTAACCGTAGCCAGATAGTATTGCCTGCAAAGACAAGCGGGAGACTGGAATGGCCATTTCTGGCTTATCAGCCATCGTCAGCTAGTCATACCCAGACCCAAGTGGTGCCCTACTCAAAGTTAGAACTTGCGACCCTTTTGATCAAAGCCTAACGCTCTAACAATTGAGCTACGAGCTCGTTGTCTCGCTAGTTTTGGTCGGGAAATATGGACACTTGTTGATAAAAGTTCAGCTTTCTTTGTGGGCAGTACTAACTACCTAGAATAGTAGCCTCTAAGGTTACCGTGAGGGCCAGAGAAATGAGACCCAAGGTAGAGCGGGACAAGTGAGTAGTTTCGTTAGCCGTCGGTGAACATTCATCAACGAGTTTCGCTAACCTTGGTTGTCGAATGGTAGGTATGCGAGACCGGGAGTGTTGTTTAGAAGAGAGTAAGGCTACCTATAAGTTCAATATTTCATTCCTGTTACATTTCCAACTCTCATTATAGCTCATAGTAGACTCTTTTGACACACACCTCCGGAAATGGACTTCGGCCGCACTCGGCTTTTTTTTCACTGCGCTCGGTAAGCCAGAGGACGATATTTCTGTTGACATAGCCACTCTTTGTAGTTGGCTCCCTGTAGTTGGCATGCAATTCAGTGGTCATTCGATTGGCCAAGGACTGCTACACAGTAGAAATCGAAATGGTTTTCCGGAGAAGGATAAATGAATGGCCACCTGGACAGTATGTCTTTTCGTCTAACTGCACATTCCTGTTCACGCATCCTGAAGTGGACTTGTCTAGCGGATTCACAAACATAAATGCCTTCTCTACTTGGTAAATAACATGAAATTGCGCAGTGATTGGTAGTTGGTCCCTTGGATACCGCCCAACGGTAATAGGATTTGCTGCAGTAGTGATCTTGGTCAATAGGTTTCTTTCCTTAACCAATACTTATTCTCGTCGTTTTCTTGGTTTATTGGCTTCCTTTGCTAATCAGTAAGAGTTTTATCTTGGTCTTTATTTTTCTTTTCGCAAACTGTTCCCCTAAATTTTTAGCTCAGTAAAACAATTACAAGTGGTTTAATTTTATCTCCTACTGCACACTTATCATACGCATTAACTGCTCATTAATCAACCACTAAACCACGTATTCCGTCAGATATTTGTAACTGGGTGACCCTATGATTTATTCCTACCGCGGGAGTTATTAGTGAGCTGACGTCTCCGGTTGTTCCAACCCCAGACCTAGTGCCCGAGTCATTTGATCCGTGGGTGGTTGTAGGTCGTACATTAACCCACTTGGGATTTGGGTCAATAATTTTGTTCGCTTAGCTGTTAAATGTTCAGACATCAGGAAAGTATCAATTACTTTCTACTGATGGCGGGGACTTTCAAATCATCAATATACTCATTATTTTGGCCTATGGATGCCGGATAGATGCGCGCTACAGACGGGAATTATAACGGTGGAATGACCTCAGCAATTAGCCTTGAGGGGTTACGTCCCTATAGTTCTCTAAGAAACGCTTGCCTTTTCTTACGTCGATAATCTAAACCCGAACTAGAACCACTTCAACTACAGACAGGGGTTATTTGTAAAAAAATACGGTAGGGATTCCAAGATGGGTCTTCCAAAGGTCCTTCTGCATTACAGCCACCTACTTAAATGTTTTAAGTAGGTTCAATTGCCCATAATCTTCCAGTTTTCTACAGGCCATCCGTCGATCCAGAAGGGATTTTATGGTGGTATTGAACTGCAGCGTAGTCCTCCGAAGGTCACCGCATACCATAACCGCTTAAGTCAGTATAATTAGCCTTTTAATTACACAGGGGAATAACCGCTTACTTATAAATTTTAAGTAGGATGATTTCCACCATCTTCCACTTTTGTGCTGCGTTAACCTTTTTCCCAGTTGGTGTTGGTGGTTCCACTAGACAATGTACTTCAGTGACCTCGCCCGAGGTTAGGACATACTTCCCCTGCATACACGCGTT